CACTCAACTATCACAACTTTTACCTCACCAACACTCTGTCTCTCCCGATTTGCTTTGGTTTTGGTCTCAAATGAAATGAAGGAGAAGACGGCAGAGAGGGGAATATGTTTTTAAGTAAATTCCTTGACAAAATCTGGCCATCCATTACCATGTAGTCACTCATGGTCGTTGAGGCCATGAGTGGTCGACATATAAAAGAAAGGGATAGTTGGAGTTCAACACCTACCTAGCCAGCTAGGTTCCCTCCGCCAGGTGGCCAAAATGCCACTTGAAGGTTGGGTTAGTGGTGCCAATTCACAACCCAACCAAAAATGCGAGCAAGCCACTACTTGCTGGGGTGTGAAGGCAAACATCCCCCACAACCCATGACCCTAATTTGTTTTCAAATAAATTATTTATTTTATTTTATTCTATTTTTATTTTTTTATCTTTTGAAATTTTTGAAAATTTGAAATTAAATTATAGCAACACAAAATCAAAATCAAAATCAAAATCAAATCCATAATTCTTACAAAAAACAAATATAGAAACCTAAATTTTGAAATTCAACCTGAATAACCCTGAGTATAAATCTCTCATAGCATTCTCAATCTGCTAAGTTGCCTTTTGAGAAGAATGGTGTCGTCATTGTACTTTAACCATATGAATCTTCCGAGATCGCAATACCCTTTCCTGTTTGTCGAAAATATGAACTAGATATTCCTCATATGATAAGTCAGGTTGCAGTGCTAAGAGTTCATAAGAGATTACATGAGCTGGATCATGATGATATTTCCGAATCATAGATACATAGAAAACATTATGAATACTGAAAAGCTGAGTGGGAAAGGCTAGGCAATAAACAACCATGTTAACCTGTTCCAAGATCTTAAAAAGTTTGATGAACCTAGGACATAGTTTCCTACATCTCCCAAATCTCATGATTCCCCTGACCGGAAAAACCCTGAAAGATAGTGATCTCTCACTACAAATTCTAAATCCTTCTTCCTGTTGTCAGTATAGCTCTCTTCCCTACACTAGGCAAAAAGAAGATTTCATCTAATGATCAAAATCTTGCCAATAGTTTCCTAGACAAGGTCAGGTTCTGACAGATGTCTTTTCCCAACTTTGTCCCAACAGGAAAGAGAACAGTAAGGTCTATCATACAAAGCCTCATAGGTGTCATTCCTATGCTAGAATAAAAGTTGTTATTATATACAAAGTCTACCAAAGCTAAATGTTTATCCCAACTACCTCCAAAATCCAAGATAAATACCCTCAACATATCCTCAAGTGTCTAGATAGTCATTTCATATTGCTCATCAGTCTGAGGGTGAAAGATAGTATTAAAAGAAATATAAGAACCAATAGCATCCTGGAAACTCAAATAGAATCTAGAAGTAAATCGAGAATCTCGATCAGAAATAATGGATACTGGATACCATGTAGACAAATGATCTCCTGAATAAACAACTCAGCTAATCAACTAAGAGGATGAGTAGTCTTCATAGCCAAGAACTACGCAGACTTGGTCAACCTGTCGACTACAAACCAGACAGCATTATATCCATAACTAGTCTAGGGTAGTCCAAAGATAAAGTCTGTGGTCACATGTTCCTATTTTCACTCAGGAATAGGGTGAGGCTGAAGCAAACCACTAGGTTGTTGGTGCTCAGCTTTGACTTATTGACAGGTTCTTCACTTGGACATAAAGTCCATGATATCCCTCTTCATCCTTGGCTATTAAAAACGGAATTTCAAATCATGATATATGTTAGTGCTACCAGAATGAATAGATAATCAAGAGGAATTGGCCACCATCAATATATCCTGTTTCAACTCTGAATCATCTCGTACTTATAAACAATTTTTTGAATCATACAATATCATCATCAGAAACCCTAACGTCAGTTTTAACTCTAAAAGAGATCTTTTCTTTTTGTTTCAGAATTTGGGGATCTCTATATTGAGACTCCCTAATTCTCTCTATGAAGTAAGGTTAGAAATGCATATGTGCAAGATAAGCACCATCATCAATGGTATCCAAGGACAAGTCCTAGACAACTATGAGTAAATGTAACTCAAAGACCATCAGCTATGCAAGGAAACTATAACTCTTTCTACTGAGGGTGTCAGTGAAAACCTTAAAAGATTTCACCATAAAAATAGTGCTATCAAATTTTAAAGTGAAAACTGTGACATTCTGGTACCAATTAGGGAAACAATGTCCAATAACATAATATATATATATAAGTGTATAAAAGAATTATACAGCGGAAGTAAAATTCATCCTTTACAAACATTTGATGTTCATACACATCTGAGGTTAAGAAGTTAGCTAACAAAATATATACAGACATTATTCTAGCCACTTCTACCATTACAAAATTATTATTTATCAGAACACAAATTTCACATGCATTCAAACATCCACTACTAGTACGCGAAAGAATCCAAACAAACTTCAAGGGGCAAGTATGAGAGTGATTCTTCACTTTCCTCATCGTTAGGGGGAAAATAGATTAGGGTGAGTTCTATAAAACTCAGTAAAAAAAAAGTATTTAAACTACACTACTAAATTTTCAGAAGTTACATTTATTTAAAGAAAAGTGTCGTTACCTCTACTGTTGATAGTACTTACTGTCAGAGACCGCTGCAAATTTCGTTATATCATTAAGTTTATTTAAAATATTGCTTACAACCTTATGTTTTTAATTACTTGAAATACATTTTGAAATATAAGTCTTAAATCATAAGCAATCTAACAGATTAGTAAAAAACATATATAATACAAAAAATTAATCTAAAACAAAGAATGACAAGAAGGAATAGTGAAAAATATAACCAACATAAGGAAGGCTTATCTAGAACATAAAGTAACAAATAATAGTCCTAGCAATACCAAATTAGGTTACTCAATTTAAGTTCTGTGTTTACAGATCTTCATGCGAAATTGTTCTATCCTATATCAATAGAGGGTAGAAGGGATCCTTAACTACCACTGTGTATGAAAAATAGTTCAATTCGATATATAGTAAGACAGTTAGAGACTATGACAACAATAATAATTTACTGCTGTGACCCCTACAATCAATCGTGATCCACTCTCGTCAGATAAAAAATTAGTACCATTCACAGGGAGTGGTTCACCAACGTTCGATTATAATTATATTCAGTCACCCCTCTATGATAACGGTCAAATGGATTTCAGTCTTTTTCATTGTTCTTAACAATCACAATATCATATTCTAAATTACAGTTCACTGAATTTACTTCGATCCATTTAGGTTCATCAAAATGATTCTCAAAATTTATCAGTTTTCTAATTTCATAAACTACGCTGAACCCAATCATTTGGGCTCATTAAGGCCCAAACATTGAACTGGGACCCAATAGGGCTCCACTGAACAATAGACCCAAAGAGGGCCCACTAAAAAAATCTAGACCCGATAAGGATCCATTGATTGACCTAGCCCAATAAGGGCCCTACGCACTTGACCCAGGCTCGGTGGGGTTTAATAACTTATCTAGCCCAACAAAGGTCTATTGACCCAACGTGGAACCAGTGGAAGTCCATTGAACTGACCCGGACCAAATGGGAGTCCTTTGAACCTAGTCTAGCCTGATAAAGACCCAGAATCAATCTGGCCCAAATGGGGGTTGTACGTTAAACCTAACATAATAGGGGTCTATAAATTGGATTGGGTCATTGGGTTCCCCTCTCGAATTAAGATTTAATTGGGGTAACCCTCTCGGCCTTTGCATAAAAGGGTGAGGCAGAGGGCCCAGCCTGTATGGCTTGTTTAGGACGCGAGTGTGCCAAGCAAACCGAATAACTCGGAATGTCGCGAGGGCGACCCTTACATGTATATGCACGAGCGCTCAGTAGGGAAAAACAACACAGCATGTTGCACTTGCCTACTCATCACCTTGTGCGTGCAGACCTCTTAGCGTGCAAACACATTAGGCAAGTCGCACGCGTGTCCATGATGACATGGCATACGTGCAAATACAATAGGTCCCCTCAGCGTGCTGACACTGTGACATCCCTAATATTGATTACAGCATAAAGGTATCAGATACCGATACAAAATACGAGTACATTTAAATAGAATATATGCAGTGAAAATTTTTACAATACAAAATTCCTCACAAAATATATGAGTTTCTAATAATATATACAACTGAAGCCAGAAATAACGATAAAATACAAAATAAAAAAGAAAACTATTTCTTTCACTATGTAAATGGACTCATCAGAGTGCATAACAAGACATACCCTCGTCAACGATCATGGATCCAGGGGATCCAAGCAAGCTTCAAGAGGTAATTCGGTGGATAACTCATCACAAACATCCTCATCGACACCATCTGGGAGCATCCAGCATAAAAAGTGTGAGTTCTAAACTCAGTAAGACATACAGTATTAAATTGACATAACTAATAATTTTATAAAACTATAAGCTTTTAAGAAATACTTTTTTTCCACTTACCATTTGCAATGATTCATGGGAGTAGGATTGTTGTAAAAAAAATATTTATTTAGAAATATCGAGACCATCAAGATAATGTAATAATAAAGATAACACAACAATAGAGAAAATCAAACAAATCCACTTAATTACTATTATTAAGTCTTTTAACCATACTTCGCACGAAATCCATTACGATTTTTTATCTACTTGCTAATATAGACTCCCAACTACCACTGTGGTGACACTATTGGCTACTTATTGCTTGCTCAACCACAGCAAATTTGTTGCTCGCTACACCATAGTTGATTTACGGCTCACCACACCATAGTTGATTTGTGGCTTGCCATACCATAACTGATTTATAGCTTATCATACCATAATACGATCTATGACCATGATCGTGCCAACCACTGTGATCTTAAAGACTATTACCACAGTCGTACTTTACCATAGTAGTCCTAGGATCTTCTACACACTTTTGCACTGTCGTCCATATGGAATGGTCATCTCATGTCTTTTCAGACAGGGTGGGGACAGCTTAAGTAAATAAAATAGTCTAACGAATTAATTCATATTTTTCATGTATCCATTCATGTTTTTTATGTCATGTCAATAATTTCAAATAATTTCTTCTCACATCAATTACATTTCAACTTCGTTCATGAAATAACAAACTAAGCATTTACATAATGCATGTACCATTAAAATAACATTATAATTAATAACTCATCGCACCCTCAAAAATCATGCCATAAATCATGCAATCAAATCAATACTCGCTTCTATATTTTTCTAAAAATGCCTCTTAGAATGCGCAAGAAAATATTGAATTCCTTATTTATTACTAATGACTTTTTGTTAGTTAGTCCCCTTTTTCTTCTTTTTTTCCTTCTTCCTTTCTCTAACTTTCTCTCTTTAAAATTTTGGTCTTGAAAGTGATAATGGGTGAGGAAGAATGGGTGGAGAAGGGTCACTATTTATAGAAAATTAGAACCGTCAGATTTGGAACAAATGTCACAAATCCATGAAGAAAGAAAAAATAATGACATCATCACGTCAGCCAGCCAAGGAGGAGGCATGACTTCCGAGCGGGCGGTGTGCGGAGCTCGAGGTGCCTCACGCCATTCAAGTTTGTCACGCGCAGCAGGCTAGGCCTGGTGCATGCGCAGGCTACTCTGCATGCTGGCACACACACAAGGTGAGGTCTAAGCGCGCGTAGGCTATCTTGCGCCTATCACGTTGCACAATCACGTGTAGAGCCATATGCCTAATGCAACAAGTCTGTGCACGAGATTCGCTCACACAAGGCATACGCTGAGCCATGCGCCTAACAGGCATGCATGTGCACAAGATTCATGTGTAGACTAAGCGCAGGATTGGCGACCAGACTAGGTGCGGCATGGGCGTCGGGCTGATGGGAATTGCACTTGTGTATATGCCCAATAGAACTAGCACTTCTGTGCCTATGCCCAACAGAACTAGCACTTCTGCGTGTGGGCACACAAAAGCCCAAGTTGGTTCTTCCCACAACATTTTTCTCTTCCAATTTTTTTTTGAAATTCTTAAGAAAATAAAATAAAATAATAATAAAATTTTCGATAAATTAAGAAAAAATAACAGAAATTCAAAATAAAATTAAATAAAATAATATTATATCACATAAGTTTACTAGCCAAAGACCCGAATAAAATGGAATCTTAATACCACATGAAACGCAAAGGGTGCGGGGTGTTACAGACACACCTAGCGGGACTTGTTCTCCTGTGCGCGACCACTACGCGCTCGCAGAAAGCTAGGGGCCCTGTCTTGGCACATGGGCATATCGAGACACTACCTCGCACGCACAATCATGGCACAACCACGAGCATTTAAAGCATGCATGAGCAAATTTACACTTAGGCATCCAAAAACACTCCAAAGTGTGAAAAGAAATACAAGCATATTACCTTCACTATCTAGTGCTCGGGTTCCAAAAGGAATGATGAAGTTTTAAGGTTTCGAAGAAGAAAGATAGTTGTTGCAATTGTTTGAGGTGTTTGCAGAATGTTTTCTATAAATTTGAAGAAGGAAAAAGACTTATGGGTGAGGTTTTTGGCACCTTAAGAGAAGAAAAAAAATCAAGAACGGGGGATAGAAGACGTACCATGCAGCTAAAGGAAGAAGGCACAATGAAACCTCCAAGCTAAAGAAGAAAAAAGGCTTTGGTGCTCTCGGGTTGGTCATCTCTCTCTCCCTAGATTTTTTCTTTTTCTATTGAGTAAAGAAGAATAAGTAAAACAAAAAAAGAATAGGAAAAAAGGGTTTAAATATGAAGAGAAGGGGTAGTGTCATATGTTAGATCACATGCATGGTTTAAGGTTGTTGATTGGCCTAAGTGGCTAATCGGTTAGTGAGGGAGGTCATACATGCTCGTAAAGTGGCAGCAGCATCAGACGGCCACTGTAGAAGGCAACTTCTGTCCACACTTGTCGTGTTGGCACTATTTTGCTGGCGTGCAGACGTGCAAGCGCACGGGCTTGCGGGCGTGCAAGTTTGTGTGTCTGCGCATGTTCCAACAAGTTATTTTCTATGAGACTTGCATGTAGGATGTCTTTTCCAATTTCCCTTGTTTTCTATTTGTTTTACATTTTTAATTAATCTTTTTAGGTCAAAAATAAAAATTCAAATCATGCACATAAATTTTAATTTTCAAATTATTTTTGAATTTAAAACACAAGCATCTGATGTTAAACAGGTTAGGGGTGTCACATCCTCCCTTCCTTACAAAAAATTGGATCCTCAAAATTTAAAAGTTTAAAATATTTTAGAATGTTTTTTCCATATCTTGTCTTCAAGTTCTGAAGTAGCTCCTTCAGGGGAGTGATACTGCCACATTACCTTGACCATAGGGATCCTTCTGTTCCTCAAGACCTTCTCTTCTCGATCAAGGATCTCAACAGGATACTCCGCATAGGACATGTCTAAGCGAACTAGTAGTCGTCGATACGAGATGATATAAAAACGGTCATGGTGGTATTTTTTGAGCATTGAGATATGGAATATATCGTGTAGACCTATGAATTTCGGTGGCCAAGCAATACGGTAAGTCATTGGGCCAACACACTCCTGTATCTCGAAAATCCCTACAAAACAAGGACTTAATTTTCCTCTCTTCCCATACCGCATACTTCTCTTATACAAAAAGATCTTGAGAAAAAAACAATCACCCATAATAAATTCTAAGTTCTTCCTCTGAATGTCTGCATAGCTCTTTTATCGACTCTAAATAATGATGAGGTTCTTGCAGATAATAGCAACTTTGTCTACTGTCTCCTGAATGAGATATGTCCATGGGAGACATCTATTTCCAACGTCACTTCATCAAGTAGTGGATCAACAAGAGCTACCATAAAAGTGCCTTGTATGAATCGATATCAATACTTCAGTGATAACTGTTGTTGTAAACAAACTCCACCAGAGACAGATAATGGTCTCAGCTACCACCAAAATCCAATATAAAGGCCTTTAACATGTCCTCCAACATCTAAATAGTTCATTCTGAGTGGCTATCAGTTTATGGATGGTACACATTGCTAAAGGAAAGACGAGGATCCCTATCAGACACCAAAGAAATTAGAATGCCATGGAGCCTGACAATCTATAGAACATACAACCTACCCAACTTGCTAATAGAATCAGTAGTCTTGATTATAAGGAAGTGGGTTGATTTGATCAATTTCTCAATAATGACCCAAATAATATTGCGATATGAACTAGTTCTTTGTAATCTCTGATAAAATCTACAGTCACAAACTCTCATTTTCACTCCAGAACAAGGAGACACTGTAGAAGACCATTGGGTCTCATATGTTTTGCCTTAACCTGCTAACAAGTGAGACATCTAGAGACAAAGTCGATTATATCTTTCTTTATACTTGACCGCCAAAAAACGGCGCTTCAAATCCTAATACATGTTCATGCTTTCTAGATGGATAGCCAACTTAGATGCATGAGCTTCCTTTATAACATCCAGTTTAAGTTCGGGGTCACTAGGTGCCCACAATCGGTCTTGAAACCTAAGGGTCCCATCATTGAACATTTTAAAGTCATGTTATTCCCCTAATTCTAACAACTCCTTCTACTTTATTACCTTGGGATTTGTATATCTGGGTTCCCTGTTCTCTGGATGATAATGGGTTGGATCCGAATTTGGGCAAGATAAATGCCCCACCACAATGGGCAATACTTTGCCACTATAACTCGTACAATCAATTGTGATCCACTCTTGTTAGAGAAAAAACCAATACTATTTATAGGGAGTGGTTCACCAACGACCGATTAATGTCATATTCAATCACCCGTTAGTGATAACGGTCAAACGAATTTTAGTTTTTTTTATTGATCTTAACAATCACGGAATTATAGTCTAAATTATAATTCACTGAATTTACTTCAACCCATTGGGTCCATCAAATCGATTCTCAAAATCTATCAGTTTCTTAATTTTCTAAACTACCTTAATTCCAATTATATGGGCCCATATGGGCCAAAAATTGAACTGGGACACAACAGGGTCCACTAAATAAACTTGGACCCAAACAGGGCTACTAATCAAACCTACACTCGATAAGGGTCCATTAACTAACAAGACCAAATAAGGGACCGAAGTATCCAACCCAGACCCAGTGGGGTCCACTAATCGACCTAGCCCAATAAGGACCCATTGATCCGACCCGAACCCAGTGAAGGTCCATTGAACCAACCCAAACCTGAATGGGGTGCTTTTAACTTAGCTCAACCCAATAAGGGCGTATAATCAATCCATCCCAAACAGGGATAACCCTCTCAGCCTTCACCCAAAAGAGCAAGGTAGAGGGCTCAGCCCACACGGCTTCCTTAGCACGCAGGCATGCCAAGCAGACTGCATAGCTCAGCATGTCGTGCAAGTAGTGTGTCCTGGGCAAGTTGCCCCACGTGCTTGGGTATGTCAGGACAAGCCCTTACGCGCAATGCATGCATATGTGCACGCGTTTGACAAGGCAGCACAACGCAACGCGTTGTGCATGCCTTTTCCTCACCTCGTGAGCATAGGACTCTCTGTGTGCGAACACGCTTAGTAGGTCGCACATACACACATGATGACACACACACACATACATACAATAAGTCCCCTTGACGTGCTGGCATATCTAGCAGGACCTGTGCTCCTGCGAGTGGCCACTGTGCGCACGCAGTAGGCTGGGAACCCTGTCCTAATACATGGGCGTGTCGAGACAGTGTCCCTCGCACGCATAGTCGTGGCATAGCCATGAACCTTGATCCTTTAAATTTGTCCCAAATCCATTTTTCACTCTCTCAAACCATACCTTTTAAAAGCATTCAAGTTCATTTAAAGCATGCATGAGCATATTTATACTTAGGCATCCAAAAACACTTCAAAGATTCATCAAATGTTTGATAAAATGCATACATGGAATAAATCAACAAACAAGGACGCATTTTGATTTTTGAAATAGGTTAAAAACTTAAAAAGCTCATCAAAAGTGTGAGAAAAAATATCAAGCCCCTTACCTTCACTGTCTAGTGCTCAAGTTCTAAAAGGAATGATGAAGCTTTGAGGTTTCGAAAGAGAAAGACATCTATTGCAGCTATCCAAGGTGTTTGCATAATGTTTTTTTATAAATTTGAGGAAGGAAGAAGGCTTATGGGTGAGGTTCTTAGCACCTTGAATGAAGAAAAGAATTAAGAATGAGGGATAGAAGACTTACCATGCAGTTAAAAGAATAAAGCACGATGAAACCTCCACAATAGAGAAGAAAGAAAGCTTCGGTGCTCTCCGATTGGCCATCTCACTCTCTCCCTAGCTTATTTGTTTTTTTTATTGAGTGAAGAAAAAGAAGAAAAGAGAAGGAAAATGAAGATGGAAGAGGAAAAGAGGGTTTATATTTGGAGAGAATGGGCCATGT